TGTTTTCTTGTGCCCAATAATGCATAATTTCATTTGATAAACACGTTTAGATTGAATGGTAATTTATAATCAGTCACAAGAACGTCGAATTTGAATCACTTGAAAAAAACACGGGGGTGCTTAACTTTTTTCCAGGTGTATATTAGAATAATGTGTATAGGTTTAAAGTCTTAATTTCAGTGGAACTGTATGATATTCTTTATAGAACTAAGTGTGTGTGTGTGAAGACTTTTCGTGCTTAGTCTGGGTACAGAAGCTGATCAGTTTATGTTACATACTGTGATGCCATAAGTAAAGAAATAATGTTTCCATTAATTCACTGTAGTGTAAATAAACTAAATAATATGTTGAATATCTGGAGTAAATATGAATTTGTCAGATATTTGTTTCAAAGCTTTTATTTCTATAATATGGTGTCTAATTCGAACATCTATTGTAAAGGATACAAATAGCTTTATGCATTCATAATATTACTTTCCCTTTTGTTAAAGGGGGGATAAATACCTCCATGATACTTGAAAAATTATAGGCACTATATATTAAATTGTTGCATTTAATCAGATTGCATATGTTACAAAATAGCAAAGACTGCAATTTGAGAAGAAAGTGTAAAGATGTGGTGAACAATAACTAGCAAATTATTTTGATGTGCTTAAAATAAAATATCAGTTCTAGCAGTGTATTCCTCTTTTCTGTTTAAAACTCGTAGACTAACATCTGTTTTTTTAAGTGTTGTTTTTTTCAATTTGAATTTTATAATTTTAATCATAAAATTTAACCTTTCTTTCTGTAGACTGCTATACATGAACTTATTCATGCTCTTGGTTTTTCACAAGACCTTCGATCAAAGTTCAGAGACTGTTCAGACACAGGTCAGTAGTTCTTTTGAACTAGCAGTTTCTTTTTCTAATTATAACAAAGGTAAGACGCGATTAAAATACTTTTTTACATGTTAAAACAAAGCGTAAGAAACCTTTAACGTACTTTTATTTTTTATATATATTTTTGTATTTTATTTACACTATATTGTCATACTAAGACAATAAAATTTTGTGTTTAGTTCTTACTTTCTTTACAAGTATTAAAACATCAATTTTGAGACATGCTTCTTATTTCGCCTTCGGTGTGTAATTGATCACACTCCATATAACAGTGGATATATTCATTTACATTTATGTGAGAATCACAAATTTTAGGTGTGTACATCATGATCATATCCCAATCTGACTAGGAATTAAATAATTGTTTACTAAAGTTTGCTAAATGAACATTTCAATGCCAATTCCCACAGTCACACATGACTTAGTACTAAGTAAGTACTTCACACAAGAGTTTGGAACAAGATGGTAGCCAGGAACTTGTTGCTAGTCGTGATATGTGAAACCACAAATTGGGATGTATCACCGCATGGATCCAACAAACCTTCATGCTAAATTTGATTAAGATCCATAAACAGGGGGCGAGGTAGTGGTAAAAAACGCCAATAAAAACTGCAAAATTGAAAATTTTTATGCATCTCCCCATGGACCCAATGAACTTCCATACCAAATTTGGTGAAGATCCATCTTCAGGGAGTGAAGTAAAGGTAAAAAAATGCAAAAAAGTCCATAAAAATTGTAAAATGCAGAAATGAAAATTTGTATGTATCCGTGTGAACCTTCTTACCAATTTTGATGTAGATCCATCCATACCCTGCGAAGTAGTTACATGGACATACAACAGACAGTACTGTTATATTTATATAGATGCAACTTCTACATATATGTATGAGTAAGCAACTGCTGCCTTAAACCTGTTAGCCTGATCTTTGCCAATAAAAGCAAATATTTTTGGTATTTATACAATGTGTTTGAAGGTATTATGCATATATTAGTAGGATAGTGAATGTAAAGATGGTTAACTGTCATGTGTAGAAGCTCACATGTACTCATCTCTTACACCTTTGTCCTAAGTAGGACTTTAAAATTTTCCACTTAATGATCAGTTTAGATTTTATAAAAGACTTGAAACTTAAAAAATTAATATTTAATAATTCAGGAAAGGTATACAAATGGATTACTGAGAAAAGCAAACATTGGCATTATAAAGGTTAAAAACTACTTAAAGTAAGAAAAATCTGTATTTTATAATCTACCCTTTTAGATTTATGTTAATGAACATAAAACCTACATAATGATTGTAGTTCTATTGTTGTTGAGTACAGCAATTTATTAGCCTGTTATAACTCCTATTCTTGACATTATTTGAGAAAGTAGGGAAGATGCATCCAAAACAAATTGATAACAATAAGACATGCCCCTCAGTAGCACAGCGGTATGTCTGCGGACTTACAGCGCTAGAATCCGGGTTTCGATACCCGTGGTGGGCAGAGCACAGATAGCCCTTTGTGTAGCTTTGTGCTTAATTACAATCAAACAAACAATAAGACACAAGATTATCTGTCTATATATATAACTTATCATTTATAAAAATCTTCCAAACCAACATTTTAAACTGGCCTTAAATCATTAAATGACTTTTTTTGTCATCCAAGTTATAATATTTCTTCAATAAATACTGTTTTGTTAGTAATTGTTTAATCAGCAGTATTTAGTTATAATCTTAAGGTGAATGCCAACGTTTAAAGTGTAATTGTATGGTTTGAATGAGGATAAAAAAAAATTCCACGGTCATTTTGTAGAAATGAACTGGTTATCAGATTGTCATCTAGCACTGTTTATGAAGTCAGATTAAAATCTGGACATCCTGTATGTATGTATATTACACAAAAATTATATTGTAATATGAATATATCAACTTGTATTCTTATGATTTGCAACACAGCATGCTATGGCAATCAAACTACGTATTAACACAATCTACAGTACAAGTTTTAGAAATCTGAAAACTTAAATCTTTACACACACACACCCTCTCTGTTGTTTTTTTTTTTTTTCGTTTTATTATGCTTATTGATGTTTAGATTTTAAATTAATTTCACACTTTCCTTGTTTTGTGCTTTCCTTTTATTTAGTGTGTTTCTGAGGAGCCTTTCAGTTATTTATTGTATACTTATATACAGCTGTAAGGACTTTTTCTCTACTTGAGGTCTTTAAGTGAAGATTTTTTTTCAGTTGGTGAATGATTGTGTAAATTTTACAGTTACTCTTTTACTGTCTTATGTATATCCTTTTTTTTGTACTAATTTTCTTATATGTAAGTATTGGAATCCAAGTAAAGTTGTTCATATATAAAACCAATATACACTAAGAAAGTATATTAAAAGTTTGTGTTAAATGTGATCTGGAGAATGTCTGTATACCATTTGTTATGTGTGTGCTTGTTTCTCATGTACCATTGTGAGAATGCAAGGCCATTTTATTGCATTTTCCATGTGCTGCTGAGTGGTGGTTCATTTATGGTGTTGGTAGGCTTAAGCATGAATAAACATAAAAATCTTATTGTGCTCCAAAGGGCAGTTTACCTTGAAGAAGAAACTATTGAGATCATAAACTGATCAGCAAAATGTCCTGATTTAAATCTCATATAATTCCTCTGGAACCACCTTGGATGCCAGCTGGGAACTTGTGGGAGAGGCTTAATATGGCATATTTTCCGTTGTGAAAGTAAATAGGAGAGCAAGATAAATTTTAAAATGTTCTCTTATTGAAGTCATATTAAGTTTTATAATAGTTTTAACATTACTTTGTATCATGTTTTTGTTGAATTTTTCCACAATCACATTTATCCTATATATTATTATTATTATTATTTTGTTTTATTCATTTGCAGCCAAACAACTTTTGGATAATGTCTTAAAGCTGTTTATTTAGGAAATATTTTAAAATATTTTACATATGTTTCCTAATATGATAATCAATGAATTTTTTGTGTATTATGTGTTTTGTTATGCCTTACAGCATTACAAGATCAACAATGCCCACTGTGGAAAAGGACAGTTGTCATGGACTTATTTGGAGTGCCTCGTGTAGTACTACCATCAGTTGTTAACTTCACAAAACAGCATTATAACTGTGATATAACTGACTTTGGAGCTCCTCTGGATAAACTGGTGAATATTGTTTGTTTCAGAGCACTCAAAAATATCTTAAAAAGTTGTGAGATTTTTTTTTTCAGGCCTAACAAGTGTGAATACACTCAATTTTGACTGCATATGTTTCTTTTTTTTTTTTTCCTATGCAGTATAGTAAGTTCACTGTGGGTTTCATTTAGAAATATTTGAAAAGAAGATTTTAAGTCTATGTTTTATCTGACACAGACTTCTTTTTTTTTTTTAGGCTTTCCATTCAATGCCAGCACTTTCTTGCTGGGTTGGATTTGTGGCAGCCAAAAGTGTATTTTAAATGCTATTTTGAAATCATAAAGGACACTATACTCAATAGTAATATATTCTTTTAACTTATTTAAACACAGTTGTCACTGTTGGGATTTTTCAGGATTAACAAAAGAAACCACCATGAGATAAGACAAAGCTGTTTTTTATTAATGTAGATTGTAAATTATTACACAAATATTCTGTTTGTGTCTCAGTGTTTTTCTTATTTGGTAAGTAGCAGGTGACATGTGTATTAAGTTACAGATACAAACTAAATAGAATTACCTGATTTTTTTTTTTGGTTTCACCAGATGGTTTCAGATACAAAACATATATTAACTGCTTGTTCTGTTCAGGTTCGTTAGACTAGAAAACAGATCCACATTAGGTCACAGCTTTATTGTGTGAAGTAGTCCACAACTCATAAAGTGGTACGAATTAAAGAATCATATTTTGATTATTTACTGTAGTATTAGAGCTAATTGGATCGTATTAACAGAGAAAAAAAAATTATAAAATGGGAGACAGAATCTATGAGCATATTTGCTTTCAATGTGTAAAATGAGATATCTGTATAGTAAAATGATAATTGATGCTTTTTTACAGCTTTAATCAGTTCATTGGATATGTAGCCAACATTTTATGTCAAGATTACCCAAATATTTAACTCAAATTGCATGTAATTTCAGCCAGATGGTTCTGGAGGATCTCACTGGGACCCCTTAATGATGTATGGAAGTATGATGACACCAAAAATTGGAGAGGTAAGATTGTTTTTGAAACTTTGTTGTAAACATTTCATTTTAGTTGTAGGAAAAACATTTGCCACTGGTTATTACAAAACTTAGGATACATTTTTAGATGTTCTCCGTCTGAAGTATACATCAGATTTAATATAAATACATTTGTTTTCTTTTATGCTTATAATACATGAATATTATTACATATATCCATTTTTTATATTTATTAGCTCAATATAAGTTGAAACGTTTGTCTTGTGTTTTTTCTCTCTCTCTTTATATAAATGTAAGGTTGTGTTTAATTAGAATTATGTTAACCATTGAATGCTTCTTAAAAAAAAACACATGAGAAGAAGTTTACGTAGGATTTTTATTTTGTAGATTACTCAAGTTGAGCATGGAAGGGCCTTGACTTAATGTTAAAGAATTGTATAATCAGACAATTACTTAATGGCATTGTAATACTTCTGTAAATATGATGCTAAATATTATTATTTTTTACTTCACCACACAGAACAATAATCCCTGTCTTACAAATTCAATAAACCTACATTACCAGTAGACATGAACACGATATACCCGATAGACTTCTTGATTTATGAGTTTAAAAGTTTCAAGATAGAAACAGATACTTGTAACTTGTTAATGACATGTATCTTGCTGTTTGTCATACAAGTGTACGTTGTATCGTAAAGATGATTCATTATGTGTGTGTGTTAGCATCCATCACACAGAGTTTTCGGCTCACTTACTGTAATTTTTGGTAAAAAAAAGTAACTGGAAACTGTCTGACAGTGTACATGGGTTAATTTGTTTTAGAATTTTAGCCATAAAAGGGAGGGGGGTAACAAAGCCTCTGAAAAAGAGCACATTTCCATGTTACAAAAATTTTTGTAGGGTAACTGGAAAATGTTTGATGGTGTTCATGGGCTATTTCGTTTTAGGATTTCCTCCAAAAGAGGAATATGAAAATGGAAATAGGGTATATTTTCACTTTTTTATAGACTTTTGGCATTGAATTTAAAGACAATTACTTTATCAGTTAGGTGAGTCAATTATTACTTTTCACACAGCAAGCGATGTAATTAGCATCTAATGTGGTCAATAGGGATTTAATAACAAAATAAAGAAGGAAGGAAAACATTATCTAACATTGACCTTTATACATTTTTTACTTTCTTAACAGGTACTCTCAGTTAGTTTCCATTAGAACTACTACAGCATGTATGATAACGATAAGTTGAAATGTAAGCTATATATATATAAACTTTTTATTATAAAATTATGGTTTCATTTCAGGAATCATGATTGTTTTGTTATTAAGGAATAGTGAGAAAAAATCATGCATATTAAATTCTTTATTTTGAAGCATACTTCCAAACTGAGGGAGTCGTGATTTTAAAGAAACTTAGCCTTTATATTTGTCATAGCATGTCCAGTTCTCTCACTCGAAGCTATTATGAACATAATGTAGTACCAAGTAAATTTTTTTTCAGGTAATTCTGTAAGTTTAACTAAGCATTCAATAACAATACATGGAGCTTTAATATTTCAATGGTTAAAAAAACTTAATGTTTTGTGATTTTGACTTAATTCCTTTCTACAAAATAGACTCCTCAGCTTTTATACATTTTCCAGTTAATGGATTGCACATGCAATGTAACTGTTATACATGATGAATGTAAAATATTCCACTCACTTAATAAATGTTACTAATTATGGTATTTCTGGAATTTAATCTGGCAAGCAAAACTGAAAGGACAATTTCAAGTAAGTTTCATTTTAAAAGCATTAATGTAACTGAGTGAGAAGTATACTGAACACTGGTAACTGTCATTTGTAGCTATTTAACAAAACCCACTTTATAAGGAATAAATAACTTTGTTTCAAATACTTATTTCCCATTCATCATCTGTAATTTGTAAACAAGCAAGTTAACAGAAATTTACAAGAGATTACATATATTAATTAGTTAATAACATTTTTGTAAGTATTAGATGATTTGTTTCTTGAATTAAAACAGTATTTTCACTTTAATTTTAGTTTTCTGTAAACACTGAAGTTTTTGTTATTGTATTAACATTGTTGATATTATATTCAACTTACCACTTGTAGATCAAGGACTTTTTTAAAAAAAAGATAATATAATTAAAAGTCATTATCTTATAACTTCAAGTGATGAAGACTAAGTAGCGTTAGCTCTTACAGGAGAGAACTTATATAATCCATAGTTATTTTTTATTATCTTGACATAGTTTTCCTGTATATTGTAATGTTTATGTTTGTAACCTCATATGTCTGTATAATAGACATATAAATGTTTGGAACTTTCTTTTAAAGTAGTTTTAGAAATAGAGACATTTTTTGTGACTGTTAGTGAAGCATTTCTAGAAAAATATTTTAAGAAGAGTAAACAAATGTTATCATGGTTAGTTAGCTTTTGGTTAATTACTAGTTTCTAACTACCAGCTAGTTTATATTCCTATGTTTCAGCTACTAATTTACTTCATCTTCAGTTAACTCCCAAGAAGAACTGTGTTTATAGTGTTAAGGACCAAAATTCAATCTTGAGTTCTCTTGATAGAAAGGCTAGTGTGATATCTTTAGTAGAAAAAAAGATAACAAGCTCCCATTCCAAGACACATAATTCATATACCACAGGACTTTACAGGAAGCCAACAGATGCTGGTAAACACCTTAATTATGTATACAGTAGTGTATGTGGAATACATACACTATATAACCTTTATTTTAACCTTGAATGTTTTTATATTAACCAATATGAGTTTGAAATTTTGTACCACAATGAAGAAAGGTATTCCCAAAGTTTACCAATTTCAAGTCTCAGATAAGTAATGAGACGTTAAAACTGTTCTTCTTTTTTTTTATAGTTTTTATTGTGTTTTCAACAATAAACCTAGCACTATATATAAACATGGCAGTGAAAGAATTAATATATATACTAAAGTGATTGTATAGGTTACCAAACATGACAACAGTTGACATCTGGTTGCCACAACCTTACATTAAGGATGTACGAATAAAACATTAAAATAAGTTTACAAAATGAAAAAAATGGTTACCACTGTTTAATACAGTACCTCCTCATCTGTATTCTTTGCTTCAAATTTCAGGCAGGATTTGTGTCACTTGATGTGATGACTGCTGCACTGCTAGCTGACAGTGGCTGGTACAAAGTCAACTTCACAGCTGTTGACTCCTATGTCTGGGGAAAAGGTGAGATAATTTATTTATAGATAGAGTGACTTGTTTTATAGCCCTGTCTCAAAACACAAGCAGTATTATTCTGTATCATCTCTTCCTCTGAGTGATTTTGAATTTTCATGTCAACTTTGTGTTTCACCTGTTACTTATTAGTAATTTCTGTTATTAACTTCATAAGAAAAGAAGGATTACAGGTATTGAACATTGCATAGTCTGTTTCTTATTTCAAAGTTGGTTGGGAAAACCTACAGGTGATAACAAATACTACAATAAATCAGTTAAAAATAAAAGCACATTGAACTATTTATTTCTACTTTAAATGCACTCCATAAAAGTAAAAAATAGTACAGATTAACACATATGAATGGAATCATTAAGAAAAAACAACACACATTTATTTACAAAATATCATACTTGGCACAAGAAAAACAGGATAAATACTTTTCCAGGGAAGAAAGATACTTGCATCCCCTCTCTATAATATGTTGAAAACTTTAAACAAGCACTTTGTCCATTATGATATGCAACTCTTGCATTCTGTCCAGGTGTTAGTTTAGTCAGCCTGATGGTTAGGGCACTTGACTCATAATCTGTGTGTCATGGGTTCAAATCCCATCACTGAACGTGCTTGCCCTTTCAGTCAATCCCACTACTAAATTAGAGTAGCCCAACAGTTGAGGGTGGGTGATGTTGACTAGAGTTGGACAAATAGTGGAGTTTGCTAATCAACAGATTAATTATAATCAATTAATCAGTTAGTTTCAACTCCCATCCCCTCCATACTAGTAAACAGGGGGGTGTGATAGCTTCATAACTTTGTGAACCACTGTATTATTGTAACATGGGATTATACTTCCTATTTTTCACCTAGTTTTTTCTTTCCAAGTAATTTTTGAATTATCCTTTGTTTCATATGATAAACATCATCTGGAGGTTGCATTTTGCAAAAAACAAACAAACTTGGTATAAATTTTTTTTAACAATAATCTGGATACTTACTACTTTATGAGTGAATCGACTAATGAATGAATCACTAATGTCAACTAGAGACGACTATACAGTTGTCAATTTTGTTAGTGTGTTGTTAATTCACAGACATATCTAGAGTACAAATATTTTTGTAATACATCTGATTTTTTGTGAAGAACATACTTGTATATTTTACTAAAAGCTTGCCACATTTTGTGTAGATTTACATAGTAAGTTCAGAATTATAGTGAATATTCCTTCTCCAACATTACTCATTATATGTTCATTTTTATCATACCATACCTTTTTGTCGGAACTTTCAATTTATCTGCTTTGTTTTTCACAGTTTCGTTTGAAATATTAGAACTATCGTAGTTCATCATATCTACAAAATCTAAAAGTTTTTTTTCTCTGTATTTGGTAATTTAAAAACTTCTTCACAAAAGGTTAAACCCCTACAATGATACTGTCAGTTTGCTTGAATTACCAGAAACCTTGAGTACATCACTGCCTTCGTTTTCACTGGATATCTTTCTTTTACTTCCTAGAAAAAAAAAGATTTTACACCTTCCAACATAACTTTTCAGATTATAATTCACCAGTTAATTTTCTCATTAAAAGATAAACATTTGTATTATTCAAACATGTCTTTTGTACAAGCTTATTCAGCACTCCTGGTTGACAGGTCTGTGTCAGTTCATTGGCTTTTTCTTTATCCATGTATATAAAACTATCTGGAACTTAGCGCTAAGGATCTGTCCTCTATGTACTGTCACTGCAGTCGTAATTGTTAAGTTGAACTCTATCACAAATAATTTCCAGATTTCAGTCATCCCCCAGTGGATCTGTGGTAATCTTGTAGACTTACGATGCCAAAGTCTGGGATTCTATTCACTACAAAAACAATGAGCACTATAACAAACCAACAGATTTTAGTCACTAAGAAAAGAGTAAGCTTTGTTGAAATAGGATAATTAGTACATTTGGATGTGAAAAGCCTTTTTCTTTTTTTGTTGTTATTGAAAGTGTTCAGTGTAGTGTGAATGTTTTGTATGTATATATGAAAAAATTATTACTTAATGTTATTTCTTTATGTAACTACTTAAGCTTGCATTAGTGTTACAGGAAGAAGTACATTCTAAGAATGTTACAAAAAGTCACAGTTCGAGTGTTTTTGTAAAGTGACCCATTTTTCTTCACTGTCTTATGTTCACACTTGGAGTTTGATTTTAGTGTTAATGTATTAACATTTTTGTACTGTAAAATACTGTATAAGAATTAGGCAGATACAATTTTGTTACTGGTCAGCAAGATCTAAAGTGTTGGTGAAAAGAGTGCTTTGTTTTTGATTTTATTTATTTTTCTTCCTTAATACAATTTTTAAATGCTGAGCTGTGGGCATATGAATACAGGCTCTTTCAAATTTATGTCTGTCATGTGGTTCTTATAGATCAGGGCTGTCAATTTGGATTGCCAAGTTCCTGTTCCAGCACATCTGTTGAACGTCAAACCTCACTGTTGTGTAATCCCAGGTAGGTTGAGTTTGTGTTGATAGCCTCAAAATTCTTTTGTTCCAAGGCAGTACTATAAAATCAAACAAGTCAGGCAGAACTTTAAATGTAAATAATTCAGTGAGTGTATTGTGTTATGTATATAGAGAAACATTATTATAAATTACATCAGAACAGTAAAAGACAGTGATGAAAGCAAAGGTTATCACGAATTCCATATCTGCATAAGACGTTCTTGTGTGAGAGGTAACTTTTGTAATTGTAGATAGTTGAAAATAAAAGTTCTATAATTTTTTAATATACAAAGTGAGTAAATAATTAGTGTCACTAATGTTGTTGGTGTTTTTTTAGCTCAGTTCAAGAAGGATGTGATTTTCTCCATCGTACTGTTACCACTTGTCAAAAACTTAGTCCCAGTCATGAGTGTGGCATTTTTAAACCCAACGTTACTGTAAGTATTCTCTTTTTCTTGAGTGCATTTGTATATACATAGTAAAGTTAGCAGATTTTTTATTTTCAGTCTTTTATTTCTACTAAATTGACTTTATAATCCCAAAATAGAGAGAAAACTTGTGCTTTGCAAGAATTAAAACTCAACAGGTTGACATTACAGTATTCTAAATGTCTATAAACAAATAAAAATACTCATACATAGAACCTTAACACATAAATACTACTGTCAGAAATGTGGCTCTGAGAGATGACAGGTCCATTCCCCAAATAACTTTTCCTTTGCAATGCATAGTACTATCTACCCCCCGCCTTTCCATTACACATAGTGACATCATCTATACTTCCTTACTATTAATTCAATTCCTATACATGCAAACATGTTACGTTTTTAACTGTATAGGTTATAAGATATGTTGATGGTATTTGCAAAACATTGTATTTGAAGTAATTGTATAATTTATTAGGAGAGCTCGTAATTATTATTGTAGTATTTTATATTTCTTGTTTGAGATTTTACCTGATACAGAACTTTGTACTAGCTTTGTTTTGGTTTCTTGCATAAAATTGAAATTTTTCTCTTATGTGCTTCAACATATCGTTTGTGATTAATACCCAGTACCAAATCTGTCACTTATTTCTAGGTTTTGAGATAATGAAGTAAAAGATTAAGTCAAACAAAGTCTTGTACATTAAACAATAAGTTAATTGTATATGATGGCTGTAGTGTGTACTTTTATCTGTACTTGAAACAATAAGTTAATTGTATACGATGGCTGTAGTGTGTACTTTTATCTTTACTTCAAACAATAAGTTAATTGTATATGATGGCTGTATTGTGTACTTTTATCTTTACTTGAAACAATAAATTAATTGTATATGATGGCTGTATTGTGTACTTTTATCTGTACTTGAAACAATAAATTAATTGCATATGATGGCTTTAGTGTGTACTTTTATCTGTACTTGAAACAATAAGTTAATTGTATATGACGGCTTTAGTGTGTACTTTTATCTTTACTTGAAACAATAAGTTAATTGTACATAATGGCTTTAGTGTGTACTTTTATCTTTACTTGAAACAATAAGTTAATTGTACATAATGGCTTTAGTGTGTACTGTTATCTGTAGTGTGTACTTTTATTTTTACTTCAAACAATAAGTTAATTGTACATAATGGCTGTAGTGTGTATTTTTATCTTTACTTGAAACAATAAGTTAATTGTACATAATGGCTGTAGTGTGTACTTTTATCTTTACTTGAAACAATAAGTTAATTGTACATAATGGATTTAGTGTGTACTGTTATCTGTAGTTGAAAGAATAAGTTAATCATAATGGCTGTAGTGTGTACTTTTATCTGTACTTGAAACAATAAGTTAATTGTACATAATGGCTTTAGTGTGTACTGTTATCTTGTACTTGAAACAATAAGATAATTGTACATAATGGATTTAGTGTGTACTGTTATCTGTAGTTGAAACAATAAGTTAATTGTATTTTATTGTTTCAAGTAAAGATAAAAGTACACTACAGCCATCATATACAATTAACTTATTGTTTCAAGTAAAGATAACAGTACACACTAAAGCCATCGTATACAATTAATTTATTGTTTCAACTACAGATAACAGTACACACTAAATCCATTATGTACAATTATCTTATTGTTTCAACTACAAGATAACAGTACACACTAAAGCCATTATGTATAATTAACTTATTGTTTCAAGTACAGATAAAAGTACACACTACAGCCATCGTGAACATTCTTGCTGTTTAAAACAATGTTATGTGTATCATTAATAATATAATGTTACGTTCAAGGCATAAAAGATTAGAAAATTTTCAGAATTTGAGTTTCTAATTTTAACTAAACAGAATCAATGAAAACATTTAACTAAAAATATCAAGAAAGCAAAAGTAAAATATTAAAATATATTCATAAACTCGATAAACAGAAATTTGAATAAAACTGCGTCATGTCTAAAGTTGAAAAAAATAGACTTAGAAATCCTCAGTACAGCTTATACGTACAATTACATCAATAAACTTTTACAGATTATAAAGATCATGAAAGTTTAAAATATTATTAATTTTCAGAATCATAAAAAAGACTTATAACAAGTGTTATGTAAGGAATAAGTGCAAGTTTAAAAGTACACACTAAAGCCATCATGTACAATTAGAATCTTATCAGGAAAGTCAGTATAATTATAGAAAACTACACATTGGTAATATATAATGCAGTTGTGATTGGTTAGACACTAAAAATACACTACTGTGTTAAAAGCCTTACTGAAATTATTATGTTTCATAAAATTATATGAATATCTATAAAGAGAGAAGCAGTGGTTCTCAGTTAATTTATATATATAAAAAAAATACAAGTTTTCAATGTGGATCATAACTTTTTACAATTAATTGATAAAATAATGCAAGTAATTTAAATAGTGTTTGGTGTGGTGTCCATTCAGGCCTGATCTTACAAATTATGCATTATTTTTCACTTAAAGGTTATCAACATTTCAATCCAACCACAAACTAAATAGGTTTAAGAATATATTTATTAGTATAGAACACACTCAGCTTTTAATCTAACTAATAACTATTATTGTTACAACATGAAATTACCTCAGAAAACTTCTCATTTACCAATTAACTAAAATTAACAGTTATAGTAAAACTTACCATACCACCAGTAGTCAATAAAAAGCATGCTTTCCTTCTGCTATCTGTTTCATGTGTTCTATTATTTATCACAATAACAGCATCTCGATCATGGTTCAACAAGAGTATTATTTATTACAATAACAGCATCTCAATCATGGTTCAACAGTACTATTATTTATCACAATAACAGACATTTCAATCATAAATCAACAATACTATTATTTATCACAATAACAGCATCTCAATCATGGTTCAACAATACTATTATTTATCACAATAACAGCATCTCAATCATGGTTCAACAATAGTATTATTTATCACAATAACAGCATCTCAATCATGGTTCAACAGTACTATTATTTATCACAATAGTGACATTTCAATCATGAATCAACAATACTATTATTTATCACAATAGTGACATTTCAATCATGGTTCAACAATACTATTATTTATCACAATAACAGCATCTCAATCATGGTTCAATAATACTATTATTTCCAGTTAATAAAGAAGAAATCTACAAACCTGTTCTTTCAGTCAGTTAATGTTTTTCTTTTATTGTTGAACCATGATTGAAATGTCACTAGTGTGTTACAGTGATTGGAATAAATAATATTGCAAAACAGCGTTTGAAATAATATAAATAGCACAGTAAGTGTAATATGATTATATCTTTATCATTGTGAGACTAACATAAGTAACAAGATTTCTCTCTTTTTTTTTTTTCTTCTGAAAGAGAGTACCTTCATGTCTTCAGTACAACTGCATCAATTCCTCTGTTATGGAAGTCTATGTTGGTGACACTACTGTCACCTGTTGGAATAATTCAGCAGTAGTAAGTTGGATACAACAGATTGATTGTTGCTGTCTACACACACACATGTATATATTTCTTTAGAAAAAACAATTCATTACACTCTGATCGTTGACTAAGAATTTTTTTTAAAAAACATTTAGTATTCTGTTTGCAACAAAAATGTAAATAAAATATTTTGAACAAAACCTTTTGATATAATACATTTCAAAAATTATAAGTTTATTGATATGAGTGTATTAGTATTTCATCCTGAACAGGATTCTTTTAATTTTTAATATACTATAACTTTGAACTTTCTGTTATGTGTTAGGGAAAGAGTGAATGGGAAGTCAGGAAATCATTCATATCAGTAAAAAAATTTATTTCTAAAGTTTGTCATAACCAAACTTTTATATGACAAAATATGTTTATTAAATTCCAGTTAGTAATAAGAATATTTAAAACAAGTAAAATGAATGTTTTTCTGGTATTGTTTCACCACAGCTAAGTCAAATGTAGATAAGTTGAAGTATTGTAGTTGTCAGTAGCTCCTATCTGAAGCTTTCATGTGTATTTTCAAAGTTCAAAACTATGTGTTCGTTGTAGGAAAAAAAAGAAAAAATCTTGCAGTGTCCACCATTGAACATATTGTGTCGAACTTTGAAACACCATCATTTCTTGATAACTACCTCAAGTGACCAAGCTTCATCTGTAATAGAAACTGAACTTTGTAAGTTAATTTAATATTCTAATATAACTGAATGTTTATGCTTGTGGAATTTAACCCCTTTAAGTTGATAATTAATTGTTATCTCCTTTATGCTTATTTTTTGTTTGTAAGTTCCCATAAAAAGCAAAAATGCTGAACATTTCTTGCAGAATAGTATCATTTGTTTTGACGGAATATAAAAACAACAGAAGTTCAGTGTGGCATGATATTTAATTCACCAAAATCAATGTATATAAATCTGTATCAAAAAAGGTACATTTCCATAATATTTATATTAAAAAGTTTTAGAGATTACAGTTTGGAAGTAATAGAGCCTGTATTAATGCCTATGATTTTCTTTAATTAATTATTTTAAAATTATGATTCAGACTACACATATTGTTAAAAGCCCAAAAATAAAAGCTTAGTCTGCTTCTTTCACTGTATGAAATTATAGTTTCTTGGTTCCATCTCTTGCATTTAAATTTGTTTCCAAACAAATTATCTTTGTAGTCTCATTAAAAACTAATTCTGTAAATTTTCCAGACAAAGAAGTTACATTAGAAGTGATTTTCAGCAAGCCTACACAGCAGGATATTATCCAAAATGGAGTCCCTTTAAAGAACTTTAAAATAGCTGCAGTGAAAAAGATCTTGAATTTAACTCAAATTCCTGAATCATGGTTGTACAAGAGTTCTCTGTCATGGACCAGTCATTATCTTCTAACTGTTCAATGGAAAACTAAAATAAAGTCTGTTGCCTCGGAAAGACTTTATCAACAAGCCTATCAAAGAATTAAAGCGTTATCTCAACATGGAAAGTTCTGCTTTATGTATGGAGACAACCTAAAAGCCACAGCCTCCCGTGTAAAGTAAGATGCTCAAATATTTGTAGGATATAGATGATATGTTGGACATAATAACTTTAATGTTTTTTCTCGTATACCAAAAATAAACTAATACCTGAAAGTCTATAAATGTATTCAGGTTGTTTCTTGCATATATTTTGAGATTTAAGTGATTTTAACTTTTCTTGTTAAATAAGATCAAATTAAAGCAAATTTAGCTTATTGAAATTCTTGTTAAATAATGTAAAAATTTACAATTTCTAGCAAATTATCCCGTATAATTAAAAGTTTGTTTACATGTGGTACAACACAAGTAATAATTTGATTAGTGACAAAATGGAATCTTATTATTAAACTATATTATGCCAGGCAATAATGTTATGTTTATCTAATTTTTTTTGTCACTGTGAGAAAGTAAAGTGTTCCATGTATTACATATAGAAACTTTTTTCATTATATTTTATCATTTTCATTACAGATTATTTTTTGTAATTCAGTTATGTTTTACTTGATATAGTTTTTTATGTATTTTGTCACAAATGACCTGAAAAACTTTTCCACTATGCAATGCAGTTAAATACATAATAACTTTATGATGGAGGATAATATCCAGTTTAAAAAATTCTAAGTAGAATAATATTATGATTAATATTTCTATTAATTATAATGAAATGAAGATTTGTAACTTTTAAGTTTGTGTTTAAATTTTCTGTCATTTTATTAGTATTTAATATGTTGTCAAAGATTTGAACTATACAGAACAGTCATTCCTTTTGGAACCAAGTTTAGTTGGAATCATTCAAAATGTGTAGTCATGAAAAGTGGACACGCAGGCAACATTTTGCTCTATAGGTATACATATTGTGACCTATTACATTACTTAGTGCTTAACTAACTTTGGAAGCTAGCTAATAACTGAATTTCACTTTGTATTTTAAGACTTGTATAAAGCTTTGTGTAAGTACTGAAGAGGTAACATTTTATAATTATATAAAGAATGCAACTGTTTGAACCTTCTAGGCATTAAATGTATCAGTATACAGTATAATGTGTTTTTTGTCTCCAGCTTGGTGTCAGCTCCTAGTACCAGCAGAAGTGCCAGTTCTGAAAGATACGTGGTGCTAGCTCTTGTGATTGGACTTCTAGTTGGTATTGTAATACTAGCAGCAGTTAACCTAAGCTTTTGGAGGTATCGACAAAGGATTCACCCAAATAGAAACAGGATCCACATTTGATGCAGGCTAGAAAATTTAACCAGCAGAATTACATTACCAAAACCTTAGAAAACTCTAGTATAATAATTTGAGTTCTCTTTATATTAACTGTTAACATGAACTGTTCCAGACTTATTAATAGAGGATATATTTATCATAAAAAATTTTCTAATTTGGCACAGATTCACCTGCCATATATTTCTCAAAAATTTTATAAATTCTTAATTCTAATGATGGTTTTGTAGAGTTCAGAGTTTGTTCTAAATAATAATCAGGACTACCAGTGAATCTTTAAAATCTATTTTTCAGAAGCTTATCCTTTAAAATCTGCATAATTGTTGAAAAAGCCTTTAATAGCTCATAACAACCTGTTTTTCTAATGTTTAAGCTGTAATATATATATATATTTACAGAAATTTAATTTTTTGCCCTTTCTTTAAAATGTAAAATTCAGTTCTTGGTTGTAGCTGTCATACTTGTCCATTAAGCAGTCATTCATTGTGGCTAGTGACAGATGCAGCCTGGGAGCAAGACCTTAGAATACACTACAAGTAATTACATAGAACTTTACAGTTCACTCATAAGTTTATCTCAGGTGAAATCACTTAAAGGGTTGACAGAAGAATCCAAAAGATCAAAAAGTGAGTTCAGAAATGAGCGTGCTCAGTTACTAGGTGAGAAAGATTATTCTTAACTTTTAAGTAGTAAGTGGAAACTGCTATATTTTAAAATCATATCCATATTTGGTTCTTTAATACTTAATTCATTATAATATAACACCTCTGCAAGAAAGATTTTAATAAAAATAGCCTCCAATTTGTCAAATTTAACTTTCATTTTAAAGGCTTGCAGAAGCAGACACATAAGGTAGGCCTGAATAAATAGTATTAAGAGTTGATGGTATGAAATGTAAATGAAATCTTTCAACATAGTCAACTTTGGTGCTTTGATTTTAAGGTTCACCAAAGTTGTGAAATTAATAAAAAATACTGAAAAAGGATATTGGAACGTTAACTATACTTTGAATTGCCATCAAATGAATTCATTTCAAGGCATAATTTTTTGTTATTCACACCTATAAAAATATGTTGTTATGTGTGTTTTATACTGACACACAATAGAATGAGAATTATCTGAAGACGTGCAATATTTGAATAAGTTACAACAATATACTTTGGATAAAATAAAAAAAAAGGCTTTTTTACAGGTTTTATACTATCATAACTTTGATGGTAAGGATGATAGAAACTAGTACAAAATGTAACATTTAATTCATTGTTGGGCAGTCTAATACGTTGCTCTAAATATTACCGCCAAACAAAAACTTAGAAATAATGATGTAATTCTCACATTTCTGTTATTTATTGCTTTTTTTTTCTACATTTCAGGCAATTGCCTTTCATTCAAAACAAAATGAAAAGCAGTAATAATTAGACTATGTTCTTTGAATCAGTATTTTTTTTTTTTTGGTGCTACTACTACTAGTCCATTTTTTGTGGTATTTTCTGTAACATTATTCTAAATGCATCTTACTTGCTAAAAGTTTTCTTGTTCTTTTTTATTTTATGCAACATTGTTTAGAAATAGTTTTTATAATAAAAGTTGAAAAATTCTCAAAGTCATTGTAGTAACAACTTTTTTTTGCTTTATTGTTACATGTTAATTAGGCTCAATAATATTTTGTATTGATTTTTTTCCACTTAAGATATTTAATTCCTTTTATTATCTCGTGTAATACTCAACCCTGCCCTTAATGGTTGTAATTAGTTTTATGTGTGGTATGTACTATTTTTTGCTAGATTTATAATAAATCTCTGATCAATTGCAATAATAATTTTGCAGATAAGTCAAAGAAATTCTTGTACCATGTTTTCTCAGTTCTAACTTCATTAGGTTCAGAATTAAACTCTAATATCTTTTAAGTGATATTCAGTGTAAAGGCTAAAAGCCATTGACCAGGTAAGGAAGATTTGTTACTACAACAGACAACAATGTTTCATCCCATAGGAGCGGACCATCATAAGGATATGGTTCAACTGAAACCTAACAATGGCCCACTGCTGTGGGCTGAATTATTGTTATTTCTCATGTTACTATAAAGCTGTTTATTATATATACTGCATTGATTTATCTAGTGGAGTTCTCTTTTCAGTATTGTCTTTAAGATAAAGCTTACTCTTATCATGAAAAGTAAGTTGGTAGCTGTTTAGCTCCACATTTTTGTGCCTCGGAGTGTGTAATTCAATATTTAAATCTCGTGGTTGCTCAAATATTTTATTATTTTTTTAATGGTAAATTTCATTTGGTGTTATGTTTTATGACTCAGTTTTTAAATCATCTTAGTGAAGCCCATATATAAAAGAAAATTGAAGAACTTATATGTATGTGTGTGTGTATGTGTGAAACAGAACTCATTTTGATAATAAGTTAGCACTTCACATAGAAGCACATGCTTAAGATGGATCAAGTTAAACTTGATATTTGTTAACTCTTAGCTTAGGAATTATCAGTACTGATTAAAATTCCAAAACAAAATTTGTTTTGTTTTCCTTGTATATAAAAATATATAATCAATATATGATGATACTTAGGTACATTCATGATTGTACTATAAATGTAGTCATGTTGGTGTTAATACCGTGTTACAGAAGAGTGCATACATGTAGTTATATTACTCTTAAGCATCTGTTGATTCATAGAATCTGTTTAAGAGGTGTCTTTACTTGTAGATCTCACACAAACATTATTCCATTATTCATAGTTATCTTGGTATTTTTTGCTAAGAAACAGTTTAATATTTTTTTAAACGAGCCTTATATTACTTTGTACGTTTATACTGCAGCTATTTTGCGGGTATAGATATTGTGTTTCCACATGTTGGAGAAGAATATTTTGATGACTTGTGTATTTTTGGGATTCTGATAGTAAAATCACAGGACAAGTATCTGAACTTGGGGATGCAGTTTGAATGCCTTCATATCACTTTCTTCTAGACTGTTGGAACTAATGTTTTTTAAATAGATGGGTCCTAAATATGGGCTCAAGCAGGCTTGAGTCTTGCTCTTAGATGAGTATAAATTGTAATTGTTGAGTGATTGTTTAAAGTGTGAGTTTGACAGTGAAGGTAATCAACTGTAGTTTTAGTTGCTAGTTGAACTCAAATACTTTTAAAGAGTTATGAAAAGGCAGATTGAGGTCCAGTTGTAACAGATTACACAAGAAATAAAGATGATAGAAGTGAATGACTCAAGCTAAAGATATTCATGTAGAGAAGCTTGCATGTTTTTTTATTTACTCAAGTAGGTATTGAACACCAGAGTTTTCACATGTCAGGCAAGTGCTCTACTAACTTAGCTAAAAGGAAGTTGCTAGTAAGGCACTTTTTAACAACTCAAACTACTACATATTTTTATCTCACATGCTTTAGATGGATAAGCAAATCATGTATCTCTGTACTGGTTCATCAGTTTAAAATGTACTTAGTTATTTTTATTCATTTATCTGTTTCAGCAAAGTATGAACTGTGTGTATTTTTTCTAGTCTAGACTGTTCTCTAAAATTATCCATTTTAGCCTGGTCAAACTGGTTTATTCATTTGTTCCTTGTTAAGTTAGTCCAGTTGCTAAAATATATGAACATAAAGTTACTTAAGTAAACTGTTACTTTTTTTTTAGTTAATTCATTTAATTGATTTATTAATGTTACATGTATGAAATCATTCATCAGTTCTGTATCTGCCTAGTTAGTTCTATTATCAATTTTAGTGTAATTAAGATTGTTTAATAACCATATATATATATATCACTCCATGCTTATTTTAGTTGGTCGATTGATTTTTCATTGCCATTTAACTGGTTCATAAGAATCATTTATCTTGCTTTTTTCTACATCCATTTAGTTTTATAAGCATTTATCTTTACTGAAACTAGTCAAGTTGGTTAAAAATGTATCACTTTCTGCCTAGTTCAATTGACTCACTAGGTATATATCAATTTGAAGTTGTTCTGGATGGTACATTAAGCATTTGTCAGTTTCCACTGTGTTTTGTAAAAAGTAGATTTTTTTCCTGTTTGTGTGGTTCACTAATCATCAGTTACTAGCTAGTCGTATTGTTGGTTCATTTAGCATTTGTCAGGTTTTACTCAGTTCATTTGATTATCTAAGCGACAACCCAATTTAGCTGTTTCAGTAAGCATTTATCAGTTTTAATCTCTTCCTGTGGTTTATTAATCATCAGTTTCAAACTAGTTAAGTTAGTTGAGCAAGAATTTATCAGCTTCTACTCAGCTAAGCTAATTATCTAAGCATTATTTAGTCAGAATTCTACCCATTTCTTGATTTATCTCTTGATTGTTCTAGACTATTCTCTTGTCGACCCCAGCAGCCAGACGAGACAGAAGAAACCCAGCCAGTTTAGGTAACAGAACACTGTGTGTGTGTGTGTTGTTAAATATAGAACTTTTTGTACTTTCACTTGTTACCCATTTTAAATTTGTTCTTTACTTAACAATCCTGAACCTGTATTTTGTGGGAAGAGCAAAGAGTTCCAACAAAATGCAGGTTCGGGACTGCTAAGCAAAGAACAAATTTAACACAGACAATAGAGGAAAACAAGCAAACACAAGCATAGTTTGAAACACAAAATTCTGTACTAAGGAAACAATAAAAAACGTTAAAAAATTCACATTGTAAAAATAAGAAAAAACGTTTTTAGAATTGTGTAAATGTTATTTGTCATTTTATAAAATGTGACTTTTTTAACAGTCTTATGTTACCTAAACTGGCTGGACTTCTACTTATTTCTGGCTACAAAAGAAGAGAAATTAAGATCAAGAGCTAACATTCACTAATGTCTTACCATGTCAACTAATTCTATAAGCTTTAATCAGCTTATGCTTTTTTTTGACCAATTTAGTTTGAATTTATCTCTCAAAATAGGCCAATTGATCCATTAACCATTAGGTTTTCATTAACCTAGCTAGTCTTGATAATTTTTCCTGTTGCCAGTTGTTTAATGAATTATTTTAAGAAAGGCATCTGCTGTCAGATAAGTCAGATCTTGTTATTACAGTCACATTGTTGTTGGTTTACGCATGTATGTCTATATGCATTTTTTGTAATATTTGGGAGTGGAGTTGGCTAACAGCTTGCAGAGATGATGCAGTGTTTAGTTAACTAGGCACAGCTAACCCTAAGGGTAATCCCAGTATTTCTTACTGTTATCAGGTGAGCAGTAGCTTAATGCCACATTAAGGCAAGTTTGTTTCCACTCTATCCTTACTGCATCAAATTTTAAAAACATCTTTTTACATCATATGTGGTGGGGAGTAGCAGAAAAAAACCAAAGAATATTCGAAAGTGGTTAATTAAAAACATTTATACCCCTTAACAACAGTGATTACTATTTTAAGTACGAATGATCGGCATGTGTGTATTATTTTATAATTTGATAAATAACTAAAATCAACGTTTTATATTTATACAATTTTAAAAACTTTATTGAAGTTGTCTATGGCTTCTGCTTTAAAAGCACACTCTACTGATGACTTCAATAAAGTTTTTAAAATTGTGTAAATATAAAAATGTTGATTTTAATTATTTATTAAATAGATCAGTGTTTTCTTACATGCCCTCTATCTTTATCTTCTGAACCTGCATGATTTACTGCAGGTTAATAAACTTTTAGTTTTTGAAGCCTTCAGTGATTATAAAAAATGGAGATCTTAGCTTAAGCAAGAACTGTGGATTGTGAAGTCTAGTAAGCGCAAAGAAAATTGTTATTATAGTTTGAGTTTTTTTATTCTTGTTTTTTGTGCACCATTTTATATGTACACATATGCTAATGGCTCTATTTTATTAGTTTAAAACCTTTTTTTATATTAGTTGTTTGTTCTTACATTTTATAATTACAAAGTGACTCCTACTTCTTTCTAATGATTTCATTGAGATTTATGAAAACCTTGTTTTCGTAAGTATATTTTTTAACATTTTGCTTTTAGAGATAACCTTTTAATGACATGTATAAATTTCATGAAGCCAAAGTACAATCTGTTTACCTGTGTTCAGCATTTTGTCCAAAATTTTTGAACAAATTACAACATTAAAATAAAGATTAATGTAGTTGTTTTATAGCCTTTAGTTTTGTACTATTTTTGTAATGAAATAAATTATATATATAAGTAAAAACGTTTCTGATAAAGTATGTCTTATTTGTTTTTGTAATAAGTGAATTTGACTTTATTTGCTTTTGAACTGGGAATGTTAAGACATCATTAGCATACACTTGGTTTATTTACCATTAGGAGGAATGTACATAAACAGGAAAAAATGTCACCATAAATCGACAAAGCTATTATTCTACAATTTCAACTTTCTGGTAAATTTTGACACAAGTTATGGTAGAACGTATTAGGAAGTACAACATGCTGATACAGTTGTTTACTAACTTCACACACAAATTTCTCTGAAATTTCAGACAAAAGACATACAATAAAAGATTATGTGTAAAAGACAAATAAATTTAGGGTACAAACTACAATGTGGGAAGGATAGAATGCATCATAATAAGAAAGTTATCTCCATAATTTCATCCACACAGCAATGAGGGCATACTATATATTGATTTAACTTCTGTTTGCAAGCCTCACGTGAAATGATACTAGAACTTAAAAATTAGGAGAAAGTGTGGGTAGTTTAAACCCACAGTGTCTATTACCTAAAACTACCATTCCCCCTTCTACAGCCAGCAGCGAGAGGTTAGTTGATCCTAATGAAGTGAAAAACAAGGAGAGAGAGGATAAATATTAATAAAACAATTCACTACAAACAAAACATTAAGGTGGTTAAAAGTAGAAGTTATATCTAGAAGTTGAACCATAATGATTCAATAGTACCAAGTTCTGATGATAGGGACAGGTCAGGATAGATGAGTGAATACTTTCTCATGCTCCACAAACCAAACTGCAGTGTGGATAGATCATCAAGACACCATTCTCAGTGGCTTAATAGCTTGTTATGGCAGCTCTTGTGTTAACATTTGGTATTTATTACTTGTTTTCTAACTTCAGAAGTATATTATAGAAATATTGAAATATGTCTTAAAGCATTCATCTGTAATAAATAACATAGTCCTGCTTAGAAGTCATAATAGATTAGAAGATATCCAAAGACACTTGAAAAAATAATGCTAAATATGATAGACTACACCAGTTTTTTTTCAGGATAAAATGCTCCCTAGCAAAAAGAAAGAAAAAAAAAAAGAGGTGGGAAAAGTATCTACTTTCACCAACTTAATCCTAGAATTACCAAATGAACTCCAACAGCTTTTAAACTAATTTTTTAAAACTAGTTATGTACCAAATCACTTGTGGATAAGCCTCACCTGCTCATGACATATCTTTCTGGTCGTTCCTAATGATGCTGCCTTTCCTCTTTTTTTTTTTTTTACTTTTCGACATTTATTTTAAAAAATTATGGTCCAAACTGGTGATTAGCCTTGAATACAGAGCTTCATCTGATTACCAGCATTAGTATGTTACTCTTCCCAGGGATACTCTTCTTCCACTGGTCAACACTTGGCATGGACACCAATGGGCCCAAAGCACCATTAGTCTGCAAGAGTATAAGGAATTAGTATTCTCCTGCTCCTACCTTGTCCAGGATAGCATCATGACATCAGTCTGTTCAGTTGATATCCATACAACCGAAGACACTTGAAACTATGATACTATCCTGGAAATCTGTTTTCTGCCATTTCCTTTACCAAAGTTCTACTTTAGGCCAGTGCTGCTGCTTTTTACTCAAATTCAGCCTATCTTATACCTTGACTTGATTTTGCTGAGGACCTGTTGTTCCACGCAGGCAATTAGTACTTTATTGTGACCACTTCTGTGTAATGCCTTGAGTGCAGTAGTACCATTAGTATAAAAAAGTAGGGTTAAAGGTGATACCTATTATTATAGGATATATCTGGTTGACTTTTAGCACACAATAAAAAAATCCCATAAAACGTTGCCCGATGAAGGTTCCGGTAGGAGGCCCGAAAGCTCGCAAATAAAAGTATTTTAACGTAGAGAAAAGTCCGTGTAAAGTTCTACATATTGTAGTTAGCGTACCGTACTATAACAGTTAGGGCCCTCAATTCGCGTATTGCTACCACAAAATCGCACTCTGCACTTTTTAGTCGCGTGTGTATTATAAGAGTGATGGTGAAATCCCACATCTGACTCGAGTAACCTAAGAGTTGACTGTCTTCCATGTAATCAATTCAAAATAAGGGCCGACAGATAGCTTTACAAGAATATCCAAAACGAACGTAAGCTCAAAGAAAAGTTAAAAAAGGAGATGTAGCAACATTTTGGTTGCTCAGACTCGGGTGGTGCGAAAACGTACCGAAGAAACAACCGATTTGGAATACGAAAAAAAAACTATCCTAGTATTTTAAAGGTGGTGTTTCAACAAGTTTGAAATGTCGTAATCATTAATGAGCCATGTCATTCAAACTCTGAAGAAAAAAAAAAAAACACGTCCTAATGACTTACTGTAATTGAAAAATAAACTTATTGTATTAAATGTAAAAAATATGGAAAGTATGCTTTAAGTCCCCAAACAGTGGTTCATGGACCATTGGCGGTGTTCAGAAAGGTTTTGTAATTACAGAAAGGAAGAGTTTGTAGATACCGAAGTAAACCCGACACTTTAGATCTTAGATATTCAGCTATATAAGCAGGAAGAATATTCATAAATTATGAAAAAAATTCCAAAACTATATATTAAGGCTTTTGAGTTACTGTGGGAAAATGTATTTTTATTTGGGAGTTTTCACACATTGTAAAATAAATGACCTGCATACTGGTTTCTCTATGAAAGAAGAACGTTTGTTGGAGTTCCCTTGCAACGAAACATCAGGGACAGAGTTTAAAAAAAAATCGCAATCAGTTTCGGATTCAGAGAACTGAAGAGTACCTAGAACATACAGAGAAAGCAGTTTGTTTTATATATATATATATATACCATTTGCCAATAAGTAGTTGTGCGAGAAGCAATTTTCATTACTTGCAGCCCTAAAGTCTAAATACAAAAGCATAATGAATGCTAAACCTAATCCGAAAATAAAGCCCGCAAACATTATATCAAACATAGCAAACTGTGTTCGAAACAAAATAAGCACCCCTAGGAAAAAAGGTAATATTATAGTGATTTTTATGCGTTTTACATTATACTATTGTTGTGTGGTCTGCCAAATCCCCCCCCCCCCAAAAAAAAGTGGTCTTTGAACAAAAGGTTTGGGAACTGGGCCAATACTTAAAATGTTTAATAGTTTAAGCTTTACGACATTGATATATGTATAGCATTATTATTATTTGGAGTTAAGCACAAAGCTACACAATAGGCTATCTGTACTCTACCCACCACAGGTATCGAAAACCGGTTTCTAGTGTTGTAAGACCGCAGACATACCGCTGTGCCACTGGGGGGGGGGGGACATATGTATATCAACACAAAAGTTTTATGAAAAGTAGAAGGTACTTGTTGGGAAATGTGTAGCCTTGAATAGTATAAAATCCCCCTACAAGAGGTAGAAGTTGGCAATTGTTAAAAAGTTGACGTAAAAAAACTTTTTTAAACATTATGGTCACGCTTATCAATTAATGAAATATAAAGTGACACTTTCTAACAAATTTAAGTGGTTTGTTTTGTTTCTTTGTTTGAGATTAAGCACAAAGCTACACAATGGGCAATATGCGCTATGCCCACCATGAGTATCGAAACCCGGTTTTTTAGTGTTGTGAGCCCACAGACATGCCACAGTCATTGTGGGGCGGTTTAAATGAAAGTCAATATTATAGGTCGATTCTAGTTTTTATGTAAAAAGTTTTCTATTGTCATTTAGTCTAAAGATATGTAAGAATGCTTTTGTGTGTTTATACAATATCAGTACGAGTAAGGAATCACATAATTCCACTATATTTTTCTATTACAGCCCACATATTTGACTTATACAGCAACTGTAAATTATATTAGCCATGTCTAGCCAAGCATCCCCGCTTTGCAACTTCCTTCCTACACCAGTGACGGTGCTACATGGGGCATCTGCCCACCCAAATTTTTTTCTTAGTCCTCCAAAATTTAATCCGACATACATAGAGCAAATGTAACGTGTATAACAAGAAAACGCGTTCGCACGCGCACTACCATTTTACAGAATGTTATTTTTTTTCTTGTATGCTAGAATTCAACCAAATATAAACTACAATAATAGGTATTACCTTTAACCCTACTTTTTATATTAATGGTACTACTGCACTAAATAATTATTTATTTAATTAAATAATGCTCGAAAGAACATTATTCATCAATCCGCTTTCAAAGGGACTTTTTATCCCCCCCCCCCAAAAAAATGCTAGAAGGGTCAAAAACTTTCTGATCCTTTCCAAGGTCTGTACTTTGGGGCTTTAAAACTCAATACAAAGTACTTTTTGAAAACCAACGTTGGCTCAATGTAATTTAGCACGCTAAAATTTGTGGTGGGTGGGATAAAAGTTCCTTTAAAATTACATGTGAGTATGTCTTGTCTTGCCCAAAAAGCCTACATCATGCTTTGATTATCTAGACTGATCGCATTTCAGACATTATCAGGAATGACTGTGGCAGACAAAAAAGGTTAATTGAAAAGTTTGTGTAGATTCTATCCACCAAGGACCTGCACAATTACATGGGTTTGTAGGATATCGACTCGTTAACTAAGATGTATTATAACTGAAGTGGTATGACGTATTTACTCAAGGCATCACACAGAAGTGGCCACAATAAACGTTGCCCGATGAAGGCTCCGGTAAGAGGCGCGAAAGCTCGCAAATAAAAGTATTTTAACGTATAGATAAGTCCATGTGTAATTTGACATATTAATCTGCCTACGTTATGAGTCTTAAACAACAATTACACTATGGTATTGATGGCTGATAATAGAAATTTTGGCGTGGGAACTTGTTACATGGTTTTCTACACTCATGCAAAATATGTCAAAGGAACTCGGCATTATAAGTAATAAAAATTAAAAGCTCATATTCCTTGAAGTCTAACTAATTCAATCCGCTTGAAAAGCAAATAAAATTGACGTTAAAGTGGAAATAAATGTAAAATATTTATA